CGACGACAGGAATTTGTTAGAAGCTGGCGAAGTTCGCGATTCCCTATATTACATAAAGGTAAGTTATTCCAGTATTACATAAAAAATGATAGGTGTACTCACCTGCTACTGTATAACTTTAAAATGTATTACATTATATCGACTATCCCGAAAGCAGTATAGCTAACAGAATGAATAAACACCGATATGAAGTATTGATCAGTGAGACGCTTGTAAACAACATTTTTAAAATTAGACTCTTTCAAAAGAATAAACAGCCATTTTGTGCCACCCGAAGGTCAATTCTAGTTATTAATTAAAAATGCGTAGTTGTGCTGATTTATACCAAACAACTTTTTCACTTTGTAACGTAAGTCGGACGAACAACACACAATGAGGTCTGATAAATGATTCCACGATTCCACAGTTTTTGCCGTCTTGGTTTGGGAAGAAGAATAAGAACGCTAAACAGGTTTTGTCAACTATTCTCTACTACCGTACAATTTCTATAGAACAAAGAAATAACTAAACTTACGGGAATACTGTTTGAACAGTGAACAAATCGCAGATGCGGGGACCAAGAAATCTCAGTTTTCCAAGCGAAAAGCACCGTTCTCCGGGTTCCTTGAAAGCATTTTCAGAGATGTACGAACGCTTTGTTTCAAGACAAAAAGAAATTTTGGAATTGTTTATCTCTTTTAGAATTTTTATCTTTCTCCAATATTATTAAATTTGTAACCTTGATGTGACACAAAATGGCGGTTGTGTTTACTCGTTGTAGGTATAGAGCTTTATTCGCAACTATCTTATCTCCACCACGACCGTCCAGAACAATAGTTACGCGATCATTGACTGGTGAAATGAGGCGAAGTTGCAATTTGTGAACTGTTAATACAAAACGACATGGTATTTTCTTATCAGATGTTTTTACTAACTTCTGATAAAATTTATGTTTCCAAAAACAACGTAATGGAAATACGATTCGTAATTTTTTCTGAGTAAAATTTGTAAAATGAAAGAATCACTTCGGTGCCTCGTTGCATATAAAACTGTATAATTATTGTTTGAGTTTGAGTATTGTCGCCACAGTATCGATTGTTAAATTGCTATCGAAACACAAAGTTGCAGGACAAGTTGACGTTCATTGTAGTATTCAGTACTTGTCGCTTTCTAAACTAATTTAAAAAACTATTATACGATTACTCGTGAGCGGATATTTTCTTCGAGTTAACGTTCTCGAATGCTGAAACTTCTCTCGTGAAAAGCTCGGACAGCATTTGCACGTATTAAATTCCCGATAGCTAGAGGAAGAAAGAGGGAAAATGAAAAAAAAGCGAGATATGATCATTTAAAAACTGTTATAGGGTAATCTGTGCTTGTCACTTTGTACATGTTTTGTTCAACCCCTCTCACCCTTGTCTTTTGCAAGCGCAGATCCCAAATCACTGTTTTTGACCGTTAATTATTGACAACCAATTAAGCCCCCCGGCTTCAAAATTCGCCGAATTAGCAATATATTTATTTAACTCGGTCAATATGTTTACTTTGGTAATAACGGAAGATTGAATGAATTTTTGTTTTATTTTTTGACGCATTATTCGAGATATATCTGTCTCGTTTCAATTGCAGTGGTGACAGTCGGACAACTTAGCTTATTTCATATTAATTATATTCAAAGTACTTGTGAGCTTGACGAGATCAAAGTTTGAAAGAGAAGTTTCAGAAACCTTTTTCGTACATTCTCTGAACATGCCGTTTGTAGAATAATTCATAAAGCAACACACCTATAATTTAAAGAATGCGTATAAGCTACAAATCTTCTCCGTTCTTTCACTTTCCCTTAAGAGGAGCGGATGTCAATAGCACCCTACATTTTGAGAAAACAAACTGGGAAATATCTGCATCAATCCGGAAATGATGTTACTTCGTTGATTTATTTGAAGCCTCGTTCGACCCTAATTCCTTATAAAATTCACAATCTCGATCTGCGAAACTCAATTATTGGGGATATATTTCGTCGCAAAGATTTATGGAAATGTACAAAATTTCCTTCAAGTCAAAAGCATTCAGTTAATACCTGAGTTCAACTACTTACGATGATTTAAATTCCTTCTTGCGAAACCTTAAAATCGTTCCATCGTCATGTAATTCACAAAGTGCGCCTAACATCCAACAAAAATTCAAAATATTTCAGCACGTAGAAAGCTGTGTAATTTATATTAAAGCTAGCGTGTGGGACCCGGGTGTGAGTCGAAACTGCGAAACCTAAGTAATTATTTATAATAATTTTTGCATTATCGATCCACACAGGCTAGGTGCGGTGAACGGGTTTCGTTTTATTAGAATAAACTAGCGAAGAGTGCGTAACTCACTCACACCTTAAAGTGGTCGCCCAGATTATAAATAATGTACCTGGACGATATATATTAATAATAATAATAATAATAAGCATGTCAGTCAAAGTAGCTCAGCACAAGTAGATCAGAGTAGTGTAGCTCACTTTTCAGGCGATAGGTAAATGATCGACAGTCACACTATGGTCATTTGGGTGGAGTGAGAAGTTTAAAAAATTTAGGGAAAATGTTTTGTGTGTGAATGAAATGAAAAAATCGTTTTAGAATCTGGTCGTCCTTTTTGGTTAAATCTTTACATTAGTTTCTTTCGAAGGCAACAATTTTCTTCATAAAAAATGGTTGCCACTCGCCGAACAAAGAGATTGTTTCCGCGTGAAAAAATCATATGCGAGGGGGCGTCGGCAATCGCACATTATGTATATTAATATAGAGTCTCGTAGGTAAAGAATTTTGTATAAAATCACAGCTGGCGTCGCGTCCTGATAAAGTCGAGATGAAAACCATTTAATTTATAATAGATTCTTCAGCTGAGAAATTCTTAATAAAGATCACAACAGAAAATTCCTTATATCGCGAAATATGTGTTCATCAAAAGAATGGCATGTCGATATCCTTGCCGCGAATAAAGTAGTGTAAAGCAGAATAAAAACGTGTCGCGATCAATGATTAAATAAAAATTCCGATTTTTATGAAATACGCGAGGACGAGATTGATCATGTTTTATTCTGTTTCCAAGAAATTGGAAATAATAAAATCGTGAATTTACATTTAGATCGGATGAAATTTAATTAAGTCTCGTAGAGGTAGGTGAAAAATGCCAATTAAAGCGGTTTTTAATAATTTCCATTGTTTCGAGTGACAACGTTGCCGTTCGCAATGGAATTTCTTAATAAATGACTGCGGTTATGTCACTGGGAAAACGTTAACTTAAACTGTTTTTAATTAGTTTTTTCTAGAGGACGGAAATTACTGTTACCCCATTTTCGCTTTAACTGCCTGACGCGAATCAGAATGTCTTCAATTTCTCGAAATGTCAATGTTTAGCTGAACGAGAAAAGATCGGTTCAAAAATTCAACCGGAACCTGATTGATCGCATCCCTTCTTTCTTTAATTTGAACTTTTCCATTATGTCGCAGAGAAATTAGGGCGAGGAGTGAATCTTTCTCCGATGTTTCTTAAGATTCAAAGTTTAATATGTGTTTTAATAGGTTCGTTATTAATTCGCGCTCTATTAAGAGATGATATATCACAACTTTAGCAATTTAGTACATGAGATAAAGGAAATTTCTGAAATCCTTAATAATTCTGTTAAAAGTGAGACGACGACGACGACAACGACGACGAGGGGACGGGGCGAATTTCTTCATTACGTCTCTATTGTTGATGAGAATTTGATATTAAGCTCTCAAAATGAAAAAAACATCGCAATTTGAAACCTGTTCTTTAATTAAGAAATTTTTTCCAGATAAATGCTTTAATTTCGACGTCAAAAAGAAGTCCGTCGGTAAACAAATAAATAAGGTTTAATTTTCAGGAGAAGTAAATAACATACTTCAAAGTTATATTACAGGCGTATTCTTAAATTAAAAGCTTTTGAGAATCGGTATGAGTAAATCAGAAATATGAATTTCGGAGAAATACCGTCGAATCCAGTATTCGAGCAAGTCGAGCGGCGGAATTATTCAAATTGTCGTAAATTTAAATGATCGAATTAACCGAGATAATTGTGCCGAAATATTCATTATTTTAAGTTAAACACATGCGCAGTGATTTTTATAGCGAAATTAGAAACAGCGAACGCGCGTAGAAAATAATAGGTAAAAATTTACCTGGCGCCTCCACCATTTTTGTAAACAATCAACTTTTACTATTTGATTGTAAACTCGCATCTGATCAATAACAAGGTCGTCGGGATGTTCCAGAAACGAGACACCCATTCGTTTGTTGAACGAACGATCGAGAATGAGTGTTTTAGTTAATTAGACGATTAACTAATCCTGGCGGAATTAGAAAATTTCATTGTTGATAATAGTATTCCATTTATAGAGCATAGAGAGGGGTTGGGTGTTTAATCAATTAGCGCTGATCGGAAGAAGCGTTTTGGCATCCTCTGGCAAACACAATTAAACTGATTATCGCGCTGTGGAGATTATGGAATTTATTCAATTTGTCGTAATGGCGAAGTTTTGTAAATAAAGGGAATGTGACATAACTGTCTTTCAATATTGGATATCATAAAAGACGTAACGCTCCCGAGCGCTGCTTTTATGTTATTAATGTATGCAAAGAGGGCGTCCTTAAACTCCGCGCTAGGTGTATAATGTACGATATTTTCCTATCTGGTAGTGTCAATGTCAATATGCCGACAGATTGATGAGTTAAAATTGTGTAGGGGGATTAAAATTTAGGGTAAAAGCGCGTTCGGTACTCAGACAAAGTTAGATCGGGTACCTTTTCTCGGTATAGTACCACAGGGTGATCCGGTCACGCTGCGACAAGGATATACACATGCGCCAACACTCATTGATCTGCAAGAACAGCATCCGTAGGAAGCTGCAACGTGCGTAAGGCCATTCAAGTGGAAGTATTATTAGGAATCACGCGGTGACGAGGACGGTGAGCTAGAAAAGCAGGCGCAAGGGTGGTTCGTGCGCGGTCCATGTGTCATACAGCATCCCTGCTGCTCTGGTTTGGGCAGTGGGCTCGCGGTAGCGCAGTAGCACTTTGGCGGAGGAGCATCCGACTCGCAATGGCTTTAGTATACGAATGTGCAAAGTAGGCACGAGATAGTAAACATGAAGTAACTAAATCTAAACAATCTGGCGGTAAAACTAAACTATATGTATATACATGTGTATGTATAGTATCTCCTGTACTGATATACATAGGTATATATGTATACACGCTAAACTTAAACTCATGAACCGAACATTAAACTAATTGTGTATTAATAAATAACGCTGCTAACGCTAAACCCGAATAAATAATAAACGATTCTAATATGAAACCGCAATAAACCAAAAACTTTAAACTAAAATCTAAACGATTGTTAGAACACAGCACTGGCGCGAGCTCTTTACTGCTAATATCGCTACCCATGGACAGTGGCATGCAGCAATGTCAATTCTACTGCGGCCCACGAGCACTGACGCTCTTTGTCCTCTTGCACATCTGCCTGTCGCTACCGAACGGTAGGCTAGAACTTGATCTTAGACTTGTTTTGTTTTGTTTGATTTGGTGGTTTGATTTAATTTGGTTTGTCCCACTTAGTAAATAGACTTCCTGTCCTACATGCCTGCAACGAACGCCCTAACAACATGATACACACCACCCCTCACCAACGTCACGTAGCATTCTTCTATATCGAATCAGTATTCCTCTCCCGCATCCCGCCTCATCATAACAAAATAAACATCGCGTCGGAGAAAACCTCCACTCGGTCACGACTTTAGGCATGTACCTAATCAAACACCAATTTGGACTTTCCCTTCGCATTTATATTCTTAGCCTGGATCAAGGTCATGACTGAAATCATTAACCTTACGCAACAAAACTGATGCTATGCTTTTTATTTAATTTTAGAATCTTTGGCGGGATACAACGAGAAGCGACTTCTCCACAAACTGCTTGACAATTATAACGTACTGGAAAGGCCGGTGGCCAACGAGTCGGATCCTTTGCAACTTAGTTTCGGTTTAACTTTAATGCAAATCATCGATGTGGTACGTGACTTTTCCCCGTGCATGCATAAACCACCCCCGCATAAATTCGTTTTCTATTTCCAGGACGAGAAAAACCAGCTGCTCATCACGAATATTTGGCTGAAATTGGTAAGCTGTTATTGTTGTTGTTGTTGTTGTTTTGAGTTTTTGAGTAAGAGAGGTCTTTATCTATACATCATCGAAAGATGGGTGGGACGAGGGGGTGATTAGTATCTGTAATATCGTAGTCGGTCCTTTGTGGCGACGAACACAATTCTGGCGTGCTCATGTGAGTGTGAGTTTTGAGGAGTGGAAATGTCAATGGCGATAAGTTGATCGGTGTGCGAATAATTTGACAATCGTTGAACGCGGGGGCGGGTCGGTCGCGCCCTAACATCGGTTGACAGGTGGCCTATCGCCTTCCAGATCAACGATTCACGTTGGTCCGTTTCAGGAATGGAATGACATGAACCTACGGTGGAATGCAACAGAATATGGTGGCGTCAAGGACCTCCGCATACCTCCGCACAGGTTGTGGAAGCCGGACGTTCTCATGTACAACAGGTAAAAACGCGACACTTCCGAAAACTTTGTCCAGATATATCACGATTTGCATTCGTCCAGCGCTGACGAGGGCTTCGACGGAACGTATCCTACGAACGTGGTGGTCCGCAACAACGGCAGCTGCCTGTACGTGCCTCCCGGAATTTTCAAAAGCACTTGTAAGATCGACATCACGTGGTTTCCTTTCGACGACCAGCGATGCGAGATGAAATTCGGAAGTTGGACTTACGACGGATTACAAGTAAGTTTTTACATCGGTAGCTTATTTCCGATGGATGATTAACTCGGTTTTAGCTGGATCTACAATTACAAGACGACTCGGGAGGAGATATCAGCAGCTTTATTACAAACGGCGAATGGGATTTGCTAGGTAAGCTTTAGGAAGATAATGCCTTGACGCGGATATTAACGGCGGCTTATTCCAGGAGTTCCTGGCAAACGGAACGAAATCTACTATAATTGCTGCCCAGAGCCGTACATCGATATCACATTCGTCATCATTATTCGACGGCGGACACTGTACTACTTTTTCAACTTGATCGTACCGTGTGTGCTTATCGCTTCAATGGCAGTATTGGGGTTCACTCTACCCCCGGACTCCGGAGAGAAACTCTCCTTGGGAGTCACGATTCTGCTGTCTCTGACGGTATTCTTAAATATGGTCGCCGAAACGATGCCCGCTACCTCAGATGCAGTCCCGCTCTTGGGCACCTACTTCAACTGCATCATGTTCATGGTGGCGTCGTCGGTAGTATCGACCATACTAATTCTCAACTACCACCATCGCAACGCTGACACGCACGAAATGTCAGAGTGGGTAAGACGAACGAACCCCCTTACCGCAACAGCTGCACAGTTTACATCCTTATTTTCTCTGCAGATAAAGGTTGTTTTCTTGATTTGGTTACCATGGCTTCTACGTATGCACAGACCACACGAATCGAGCGATTGTGAGTACGGGCAACAGCCGAGTCGACCCGCATCTGTGGCAACGGATCGAAAACCGCTGCACTTTCAAGACGTGGAATTGAAAGAGCGCTCTTCCAAAAGCTTGCTCGCCAACGTGTTAGACATAGACGACGACTTTAGACACAACCATCGAGGCGGCGGAACTCCGACGCCGTTACCGACAGCGACGTTCTTCCGAACAGTCTACAGGTAGGTCGATCGACAAAAAACAAAACAAACAAAAAAAAACAAAAAAAAAAAGAAACGGTAACGGGAAACTAAAAAAAAAAGTAAAAACGACACGTTCGCTTTCGATTTCAGGCAAAACGAAGACAACGGAAACGGAGGTCGATTACACGAATCGCTTGTGTCGAACCACTCTTGTCTAAGTGCGGATTACGAGCTGGCGCTGATCTTGAAAGAAATCCGGTTCATCACGGACCAGCTGCGTAAGGAAGACGAGGCCGCGGACATCACCAGAGATTGGAAATTCGCGGCCATGGTGGTCGACAGACTGTGCCTTATTATATTCACTCTGTTCACGATCATCGCCACGTTAGCGGTGCTGTTCTCGGCACCTCACATCATCGTATCGTAGCTACCCCGGCTCCTCGCAAGACCTTTCCCGAAGCTAGATACAGTAGCTGCTGACGATTTCGGATGGGCGTCTAGTAGGGTCCGACAGACTTCGACCCGGGTAGATGCCGTATCCGTATCGATCCTGACGCTCGCGCCACCAAAACCCATCAATAGTTGGCAGTCGTTTTATACGGAAATTTGGTTTTGTATCGTGTTCTTTAGGGTATTAACACAATCATACTGTGATAAATCAAGTTAAATGTTGAGTTAGTCAGACGAGATCGTGAAACGGCGCGGTAACTAGACGGGGCGTTCCATTCTCTCCTCCTGCTTAACATGGGGTGATAAGGCCGGCCGAGGGTGGTTGTCTGTTCGCCTCTTGTTTGGCGGTGCCTAGCACCGAAAGAGGCTGCGCCATTTGCGAACCCGACAATAGTAATGTGCAATGTTTTGTCCGCGAAGAGAGGAGCACGATTGTTTCTGTCGCTGTTCCCCACTTCGTATTGTTACTTGACACATTGTTAATGGCGTTTTATATTGTATGACGTGTAGAACTATATTTTTCTCGTGGAATTTGAGATAATTTAAAATGATTAAAATTCATTACTAAAATTTATAAAACAAAACGAAATGTTGGTATAGAATAATTCGGATGAAGTCTTAGAAACTGCTTCATCTTTTTTTTATATTTTGTCCGTCTAGCATGCTACGTAGGTTGTAACTGTCATCTATGGACTTCTATATCCTGTACATACAGAACCTATCTTAGGAGCATAGCTGGTGAAAAAAAAGCACTTGAAATTCTAACATATCCTTTCAAAGTCATGTAACGTACAGAGTCGTGTGTAAAAAAATACTCATGTCTCGAGTGGGAAAACGTCGTGCGTGTTTCCGGTGTCGCAACAATCACGCGGGAGTGCCTCACATCGCGCATTTTTCTCTTACTCATTTCAATACAACACACAAACATTTTCTAATTTGGCGGTCAATGTTTCGTTGAATTGCTGAAGCAACGTCCGGACTCCTCGTCGAATGAAGGAAGTTGCTCAAATAATAATAAAACGCCGAAAATTGACGTCGACTCGTAACCGAGTCCGGGAGTCCGGATGCGGCCGCGCGCGGATTGTTTCGCTGGACCCGGAACAAATCTGTCGCAACAATACATCGCCAACGTTCTTCCACTGTCAAGCAAGACAATATCTCATCAGTTAGGGCTATAATTCTTATTCTTAGTCTTTATTTACGTCTTAATATAGCAAAAGAAAAAAAAAGTTAAATGCGGTAAATACCGAATCCATTGCGAGTGCGAGCCCATACCCGTTTATATTTTAGGTTTTAGGCAAATTAATGACGAATGGCAGTTCGATTGTTATCGCTGATTACGCAACGGCGGAAACGCTTAGCGTCATCTATCTCTCTTAATGGCTTAAAGAGGCTGGCAGGATGCTAAAGAATGGTGTCTTCGGATGGTCGCTTTACCCTGCGAAAGTAACCATCCGAAAGCGCGCGACAGCGCGCAAATCTCTTTCGATGATATACATAATATTAAGTAATAAATCTCGCGTTCCATTGTTATATAAATAAGTACTTCCCAGAGAACTATTATTCACTAAAAGATGCTAATCGGATTAAACACTATTTTAAAGAAACTCGACAATCCATTATTGGTCGCTAATTAACGACACGAGAGGGCCTTTGATACAGCGCAGAAGATCCAGCTGTTGGGTGAGGATGCGACCTGTGTGGCGTCTTTTGCGACTCTGGGGGACAACGCAAAAACATCATCAGCGGCGCTCGTCGCACCCTCAATCGCATCAAAGCGACAAGTACTGTTTTCTACCGAAATTGTTGTAAATTGTATCACAATGGATTGTACTTTGTTAAATGAATTTCAATTAAACTTGCAAATGCAGACGTTCTCTCTTATTTAACGCACGTCACGGTTTGTGAGCGAATCAGCGCCGAAACGCGCCAAACCGAGCAACCAACCCCTCCGTCTCCTTTTCGTTCCCACTTCGTCCCTCCCGCTTAAAACAAACAGAATTTTTGGCATCGCTCTCGCGTAAGCCCGAAGAATGTGTCGAGATTCCCGTACGACTAACAATCTGGCCGAGACGCATTCTTGGAATGCTGTTGTCGTGCATGCAAGTGCTCGTACAGTGGCGGGCTCAGAAAAGTTTCGTCGTTTTTGTGTTCTAGTGTGACGCGGTCGTCGTCAGGAAAGTTTTCTCAGTGGCCCTGACGAGACCCGACACCGGGCTTCCGTTTTGTGTTCACCTCAAATTACTCGGTGCGAGCGCGGCATGTGACCGTCGGAAGATCCTAAGAGAAGTAATCAGAGCCGTCTCGGCGCCTCTGACGTTGCGACTCGCAAGACGCATGCTTCGCGCTTCTTTACCGGTCGATAATAAGGTGGGAAGCTGCACGGATTGGCCCAAAGAACAGTCCTGCGCCCTCATCGCGTGCCATCTAGTCACGATACTCATAATTATTTCCGAGGGGGTGGTGTCGCGCTACGTCCACGCTGACTTTCTCAGAATGACTTGGAGGGTGTGTGCGTGCCCTTACTTAAAACGCTGAGTGAAAGGACATGTTGCGGCGAGCGCAGGATGTTAGGAACGCGTAGACAGTGTCCGGGAAGCGGAAACTCGAATATTGCGGCGCGACGCCAGGAAGCTCGCGCTCTGACGTCCGCCCAAGCCATGGACTTGAGCTGCCGCGCCAGATCTCGATGATCCCGTAAGCATCCTCGAGTGCCATGCACCAAGTCGTAATGTGGAGCGTCACGGCGGCTCAGCTGCTGGCCCTGATTCTCATCTCATGTCTCATCGTCATAGGTAAGGGCGCCGGCACACCCACTGGCATGCTGAGTGACATGTAAACACAGCCCCTCCCCTCTGACTATTGTTTCAAACAAAGGATTCTCCCTTCGTACGGTCGCACCGCGGCTTCGACCACACTTTCCGCACATTTTTTGCGATTTTTTTTGGGTCGAATCGCCTCGAGGAATTAGCGACCCTTAACTACACCCATATTTTAGACTCTTCTAATGTCATCGTCGTATCGCCTTTAATACCACATAATCCCGATGCGATTAAATGCAAATCGGTCTTTCTTCTCCAGGCGAAGGTTCCGAAGATGAAGAGCGTTTAGTTCGAGATCTCTTCAGAGGATACAACAAGCTGATACGCCCCGTTCAAAACATGACTGAAAAAGTTGACGTCAGATTTGGCCTAGCTTTCGTTCAGCTCATTAACGTGGTACGTTTGCGAAATCAAAAATAATGCGCCGATTTTAACCACACTAATAAATTTTCAGAACGAAAAAAATCAAATCATGAAGTCCAATGTTTGGCTCCGACTGGTAAGTGAATTATCGTCGTTTTCCTCGTTGTTTTTATATTCTTCGTTTGATGTAGGTGTGGAACGACTATCAGCTTCAGTGGGATGAGGCTGATTACGGAGGAATTGCCGTACTCAGGTTACCCCCCGACAAAGTATGGAAACCTGATATAGTTTTGTTTAATAAGTAAATTGCGTTTCGTAAAAAGGGAGAACACTACACTAATTTTTAATGCTTTTAGTGCTGATGGCAACTACGAAGTGAGATACAAGTCTAATGTGTTAATTTACCCCAACGGCGAGGTGTTATGGGTACCGCCCGCAATTTATCAGGTGCGAACATAAATTGGGTCAGCCTTGTAAAATTTTAATGCCTTCGTTTGCAGAGTTCTTGTACGATAGACGTCACCTATTTTCCGTTTGACCAACAGACTTGTATCATGAAGTTCGGATCGTGGACTTTTAACGGTGATCAAGTATCGCTAGCTTTATACAATAACAAAAACTTCGTAGACTTGTCAGATTACTGGAAGTCTGGAACGTGGGACATCATTGAAGTGCCCGCCTACCTCAATATATATGAGGGTAATCACCCTACAGAAACTGATATCACATTTTATATTATCATTCGCCGCAAGACTCTATTTTATACGGTCAATTTAATACTTCCTACGGTACTCATCTCGTTCCTTTGCGTACTTGTATTTTATTTACCAGCAGAAGCCGGTGAAAAGGTAGCGTCCGTAGCGCCATCATTTTTTCCTAATCCGCCCTAAACATATTTTTCTGTTTTAGGTGACGTTGGGTATTAGTATTTTACTATCACTTGTAGTGTTTTTATTACTCGTTTCGAAAATCCTGCCACCGACTTCACTTGTGTTACCGCTCATCGCGAAATATCTCCTCTTCACGTTTATCATGAACACCGTTAGTATTCTCGTTACGGTAGTGATAATCAACTGGAATTTCAGAGGGCCTAGAACGCATAGGTTGAGTATTTAATCAGAATAATTGATGCAGCTAAATTATAAGTTATGCGTTCACGTCGTAGGATGCCTTCGTGGATTCGTTCTGTGTTCCTGAATTATCTACCGGCGATGTTGCTGATGAAGCGACCACGAAAAACAAGATTGCGATGGATGATGGAAATGCCCGGAATGGGCATGCCGCCCCACCCTTACGGTTCACCGGCAGATATTCCAAAACACATAAGGTAAGTCGAGTTATTCAATTTACCTAACCACGTTAACTAGCACATTTCAGTTCAATTGAATCACAAAGCAAAGTCGAAGTAATGGAGTTATCCGACCTGCACCATCCAAACTGTAAAATTAATCGAAAGCTAAACTCGGACCTGGGTGTAGGTGTAGGATCTGAGAGTTGTAGAAGAGAAAGCGAAAGCTCAGATTCTATACTTCTATCACCCGAAGCTTCCAAAGCAACGGAGGCCGTTGAGTTTATCGCTGAACACTTACGCAACGAAGATCTTTATATTCAAGTGAGGAAAATTCGCGCGGTGTTGCGGTTTCTGATTAATACATCCGTGTTTCTGTTTTTTGCAGACCAGGGAAGATTGGAAGTACGTGGCTATGGTGATAGACAGACTCCAATTGTATATGTTCTTTATCGTAACCACAGCTGGTACGGTGGGGATCCTCATGGACGCACCTCACATCTTCGAATATGTAGATCAAGACAGAATCATCGAAATATACCGCGGCAAATAAACCTTGGCTTTCCCCATCGCTGGCTAACAAATCATGTGGCTTCCATGCGAGAACCGCACAAGGCCTACCGGTTTGGTGTTCGGTAATAGTGACTGGGGCGGCGTACCATTTTTTGGTCCGGCCCGTTTTTCTTTTTCATTTTTTGAGACACTGCAGCGTCAGCGCTTGGTGATTGTTATAAACAAACGACGTACTACCGGAAATGATTTATTTTCTTCCTTATATCGCCGAGTGACAATCGTTATGATTCCGCGTGTGCTAGATAACGGAAGGCCTGAATAAAAAAAACGGTGTATTATCGATATCGTTTCGTTGTAGTGTAACGTTGGATGACGGCCGACCGGCCGGTTCTTACGTACACTGAAATCAGTTGTTAACGGTGGCAAAAGATTCGTATTGTTAAAGACCTGAATCCGTAGTCAGCTCAAATGCCAGATTGTAAAGTCTCCCGGAGCCCTCACACACCGCTGGTCAGGGGTTCTCTCTGCCGGCGCGCGGCCGCGCAAAGGTTCCGCCTCGGCAGGAGGACCACCACGAGGTAACCAGTAGGCACCACACCCTTCGTCGAGGACAATAGACCCGTGCGCGAGCTCCAGCGACATCAGTCAAATATTAACACTGTCGTATGTTTAGATTAGAGTAGAATGGATGAGACTGGGCAGTGTTATACTGTAATGTACTGCGTAGCGTCGTGTCGGCGGCCTGAAAAAAAAACACGAAAACTCCTGCCGCCTCGGCGCCAGGTCCAGGTTCATCCCTATACTAGTTGCGCAGGCCCTCGACAGCAGACAGCCCGATAGCCGTTGACACCAACTCGTTGTACATACGAACATGACTCTAATCAAGCACCTTTTCTTTTCACACGTTGTAACATCGTATACGTTTAGTTACACTTTTTTTTTCCCACCGAGTCAAAGCTCGTTTGACATATAGGCCTAATTTCCTGTTGATCATTTTTATTTCTTTTTTAACTAAACGTAAAAAAAATTGCTCAAACTCGGATGTGTATGCAATCATCAATATTCAATAGAACCGTTTAATAAATGTTTATATAAATATGTACAGTAATGTGATTGATCACTATAGGCACGTCTTCGACTATTTTTTTCATTCATTTCGGCTCATTTTGTTTGAAATTTCGATCAAACAATATTAAAATATCACTATTTCATAAATAATTAGAGGTAATAATGATTCTTTGGTCAAGTTCGATGCATGGATGTGTATATTACTGAATGGTCTTCCAAAGTTTTAATATTGTTTTTTGGAATTTTCATCCACGCATTTGCGACACACTTTTTTACGAACTATATACGCAATAACGGGTCATAGCTGTACATTAGTTAGCTACACGTGCTAATAGTTATCAGATGTAAAAATAACGTTGTTACTGATAGTTACTAATATAGGAATCTGTACCGTATAGCACTGCCTGCCCGTGTTTCAGCACATAATCGCTTGGAACACTTATTGACTATTTAATACAATAAATAATCATTTACCTGTTATAATGTTAATGTACCAGACAGATGCATTTACAATAAAAATACGCAGAATAATTGTTATTATCTGCTATTTTATTCTCGCACACGCCCCCACCCCGAATTCCAACACGTGCGACTGAAAATTTCACCCCTCTCGTTAAAGTTTATAAATCTAACCTCGACACAACTAACGTGACGTCAAACCTGACGTGTGCTAATTAACGGCACCCCGGTTAGTCACTAACAATCGCCAAAAATAGGCTTCCGATTAATTCTCCGCCGTAAAAACTTCAACACACGATAATTCACCTTGTCAATAAATTTTCCATGTTATCAAAACAAACCCAAACTAAATTTAATGCAAAAAAACAAACATATCGAAAGTAAAATCAACACGATGAAGTAGTTGCGATTTAAATTTAGCGGCCACATTTCTTCCCCTCACACCCCTCTCCATGCTACAACGGTTTGACAGACCTGTCATCCCCAACCTTCTAACCTAAGATTCTAAAAATATCAGCAAAACATTGGCAAATAAGTGAAATTTTTAAAATATGTAAATAACGACGTCATTAGTGAAAATTACGAAATCCATTTTCTTTTAACTTGTTATTCAATAAAATGCGCCCTGAACTTAACCTCAAATTAACCTTACCGTGAGTGGACCTCGAGAAAAACATGCCAGGGAAAGTTAAAGTGAAAATCATCTCGGGGAGGAACCTCCCCGTGATGGATAGATCGAGTGATACGACAGACGCATACGTGGAAATTAAATTAGGGAGCACAACGTACAAAACAGATGTTTGTCGAAAGTCTTTGCATCCCCATTGGAACTCAGAGTGGTACAGATTTGAGGTACGTAATATTATTATCGGCGTTCTATTTCGAGCGTTGTTGTCAACAGGTTGACGATTCAGAACTCCAAGACGAGCCTTTACAAATTAGACTGATGGATCATGACACCTATTCGGCTAATGATGCAATAGGAAAAGTGTACTTAGACTTAAATCCGCTCCTGCTACCAGCAGCTGGTTTATTAGTCAGATATGGGAGGAATGGTGATGGTAATCATGAACACTCATCCAATTCCGTTATGTCTGGCTGGATACCAGTGTATGATACGATGCACGGTATCAGAGGAGAAGTCAACGTTGTTGTTAAAGTAGAATTGTTTTCCGATTTTAACCGATTTCGACAATCATCGTGTGGAATACAGTTTTTCTGCTGTAACTAATCCGGCGCTCTTTAACCCCCGACTAATTTTTTTTTTTGTAGCTAAATCAATCCCACATGGCTATTTTGCTCAAACTATACACGGTTTTGTTGAAGAACTGATAGTTAACGACGATCCCGAATACCAATGGATCGACAAAATTCGAACCCCCAGAGCCTCGAACGAGGCACGACAGACCCTCTTCTTCAAACTATCAGGGGAATTACAGCGCAAAATCGGCGTGAAAGCCCTAGATTTAGGCGGCAACGCAGTCATAGGCTATTGCCAATGCTTTGACCTTGAAGGTGAATCAGGAATAGTCGCTCGAGGAATCGGAACGGCCGTCACTCTAGTCAAACTTTTGGACACCCCGCACGTCCTCCCTGAAGCACTAAACGAAGAGTGAGTATCATTATCGTCGCAAAAAGCAACATAATACTGATCAGTATTGAAGGGAATAATGTATTTTTTCTTGTCCTGTTGCATGTAGGCGTGCACAGAGTTACTTAAAGTTCCTAGGCTCCCAAGCTAGCTTCCACCTCAATCCTGCTCCCGTGAGTGAGCCGATTTTCCCGTTTACCAAAAAACGCTTCCCGTCACCTTTGTACGCACCTCTCCCCGCCCTAGATATAGACAACCCGCGGTATAAACACGTGCCTAAACATCTATACATGACAGAGTCAAGCCACCAGTTGAGGTCGACGAGATCTAACCCTACCCTGTGTGAACAGATCCACCACCCGTCCGTTAAAACCCTACTAAAGCAAGAAGATATGAGGGGAACCCCGGGGTACGGCTTTGGGCAAAAATTTAAAAACTTCAAGTACTCGTCGCAGAGTATGCTGTCTAAGAAGATGACGGCGTTGAAAGCTAAGTTAGGTGATTCGGGGATCGGGGAAGAGATTGATCAAGAAGCTAGTTTGAGTGAAGAGAGGAAGAAACCAAACCGCAAATATAAGAGAACGATTAGTGACTCAAGCGTGATGGCTGAAGTACTGGCGAGGTCTGTAATTCAGGCACACAATAGCTTGACTTGTATTTTGGAAGCTCAAGATTCCGTGTCGTCCCAATACGACGACGAACCACCACCGGGTTCCGTCACTCCTAATACCGAAGAGGAGTTAGAGTCACGGCCAACTTTGTTAGAAAAGACCGTCTCTGAACCGTTACTTTCCGTTCAGGATACTTTACTAGAGTCACACTCTTCTGTCGTATCTTCTTCAAGTTCAGATTCGGGAAGTTCGGATGATGACGAATACGCGTCCGACTCTAAAGACATTAACTATGAAACTGTCAGTAACATCGTAAAAAATGTAGAACTCTTAGAGAAGACTAATTCGTCTAACAGTTTGAAAGGTTACTCTAAACAATTATCTTTACCTGCTATATCGCTTGATAAGTCTTTCGAGAACACGGAAACTAACCCGTTCATGTTCCCTATTCCTCCGAACGGTGAAGATACACAAAATGAAGATGTATCTGATTGCAGCCCGCCTGCCACTGAAGACTTCCCGAACTATTATCTAGAACGACTAAATGCTCCTATTGCCAAGATCGAAACTGACGAAGAATCAGACGGCAGAGACTCTTTAAACGAACACAATATAGAAATGGAGGTGGATATTTCGCCTTCAGCTGAACCTAAACGCAAGACTATAATCCCACCGATTAAAATCGGTGGAGATTTTAAATCCAAAGGTCTTTTCAAAACAGCCATGCAAACAATACTCTTGGAAAAAGTGGGCATCATGGGAACGTACACTCCTCCGATGTCCCCTTCGTCCGCAACCACCAAATCAAGCATCGGTTCACCTACGTCCTCACTCAGTTCTATTCAAAGTCCGAATTATGATAAGTTACCACGGTCGTCTACCGCTATATCTTTAGATAATATGGGTCGCAGACACGAAACCGTCCTCGGCGCTCCTTTCACCTCAATGTGTAGTATCCGACGCCAATCTAATCCTTGCATATATAGCATTTCTGACAGCGCGTTGAATAAGTCGCAACCTCTTACCGCGTCAGGTAAAGATAGTATCAACAGAAACAAAATCAGTTTCATTAATTTGTTGACGCGTGGCCAAAGCTACTCCGGAGAGAGCAAAGCGAGCCCGACCGAGCAACCCGAGAAACGCAAATTTCAGTTCTTGCGTTTAGCTAGATACAAGTCACATGATCCTCAGTCTAGCTTGAAGAAAGCAAAGAGTGATGACCTGCTCAAGAAAACCTTTTCTTTTTTGTCTAGGCCTAAGCGCGAAGAGCGTGACCCTCTGAAAAAACACGGTCTAGTGGGTACCGCTTTAGGAAACGTGGTGATGGAGACGGTGCAAGATATTTTAGCTACGACTAAATCCGAAAAAGGAGAGGTGACGCAACAAGAAACACCATCTCCCGTTTTCCCATCCTCTTCAATATTAACGTGTACTAATAATGATAATATTCCCGATGTATCTGATACGGCCTCTGTACCTATCAATACAGAAATTGATCGAGGCACTAGCGTTAGCGATAATAATATGCATGCGAGCTTACCCCCTTCTCTTAGGAATAATAGTTCACCAGTTCCGGAACACGTACCTGAACAAGGTCATCACCGAGCCGAGTCGATTGGGACTAAAATGATACAATCGCCCGCTAAATTGAACAGCGTACCTTGCATCTACCGACGATCATCAGATTCTGATTTAAGCATAACCCCAAAAGGTGAGCTTGACTTACTTTAAGAATATAAGTCATTATAAGCCTCAAAAAGTAAAGCCACGGGTATTAAAATCATTTTAAAGCATTTTTTTCTTTTCTTGGTTGGTAATTTCTTACCATAGGATTCTTTAGGAAAAGTGAGTATATGCGCTTGCCGACATAATTGTTGCATTACTTTTTTGTCTCAATGTTTCACAATTGGGGTCACTAACATTCTCATACATACCATTAAATGTGGTAAACGTTAGACTAGAAAGTCACTGAACGCTCCCCTAACCATAAATGTGTCTTATGTTTTTTTGAAGCAAAAAGCCAATACGTGGGGTTTTCTGTAGGGAATAGTCTGACGGGAAGTGACCGTTCAGCAGCTGGAGGAATCAACGGACATATTAAAAGCAATCTGTTGAGGGCAACCGTACCTCAAGAAAATTTCGATATGTTTGAGTACCCATTTCTGACTATGTCGAAGTACCCGTCGGGGTTCATCACACAAATAGGTAACTCTAGCCAGAAGCGATTTCCTTTTCTAATCGTTTGTTACCAAGGAGGAGCAGTGAGTGCTAGATCTGTCAAACTACTGGAACGAATATCAAATCTTGAAGAACCCGAATCGCGTGACACGTGGTGGTCCGAAATCCGTATGGAGATCCGCTCGCACGCTCGCGCTCTCAACTGTAACGCAGTCCTGGGCTATGCAGAAACCACAAGCATATGGTAATCCCCCCACCCTTTTTTAGTATTTCTTATAAAATAACGCCTTTACAGTGAGGACGTTTGCGTTTTGAGTGCGAGCGGTACCGCAGCAGTCATAGGCTTTCAACACGCCAATGAAGTGGGCGATGGTATTGGAAGCCTACCCACCATCCCCAAACACAGCAAAGATATTCTAAGCTCGTCTCTAGAACAAGAACGAACCCAAAAGTCACAAGAAACTGTAATTTTTCTAGTAGTGGAGGTTCATTTTTGACTGTCTGGTTTCAGAAGGTTAAGACTTTGCCCGAAAGCCCGGATCACGAAACTGTACCCCATTCTACCTCTTCTTGCTCAATTTGTCATTTGCCCTATAATACCAATAATGTTCCGATTAGGGCAACTGTATTAAAGTGTAGTTCTTGTCGGTCGGGGAAAGTACCAGATGTGTTGATCACAACAATCGAGACCCCAGATGGCGCCCCCACCGTCGGGAGGGGTTGTTTTATACAATCGTTTGTTTGTAGGTAGGGTTAGAAAAGTCTTTTGGTGATAGTAGATGAACCGGTTTGGGTACCACAACTGTGTTCGTACCTTGACCATCTTTGTGATAGCTGCGACAATAGCGTCTATATTATGTGTAAATTGTAGCCACGGTCAAACATGTTTTCGCTCTTTTTGGGTGAAAACACCTTTGTTGTTGTATTCCCAGGCCAAAAACCTTTAACCCTTTTTGGTTAAAGGCACGTTGCTACAATTTACACAACATGCATATAGTGCATGTGCAAAATAGCAGTTTTGTAGACCCCTCAAAGACCTGCGTGGTGAATCCAATGCGAAGGAAATTTCTGACGGCTTGCCCTTCCTGGAGTACGAATTGCACCGGCTACTCATAAATAAGTTAAAAATAAAGGGCATGAACGCGATTTTTGGTTTGAAGATCCGCATTTCGATTGGCGAGAAGATGCTAGTGGGGATTGCGTCAGGAACTGCAGTTTTCCTAACCCCATTACCAACTCCGGTACTACCGAAGCTGGTATCGGATCGTTCTTCTGACGAGAAGAAGTTGGCAGATTTGCAGAAGGTTTTAAACGAGACTGTGAGGAAAAATCGGGAGATTTATCAGTTGAAGAATGTAAGTGTTCGGATGTAGGGGGTTAGGAATGACGGGTGTCTTCTAGGATGACTGTCAGAACGGTCGAGTTTTGTCAGATGATGACTCAGAAGAGGAGCAGACGTCTATAGACTTATCAATGGGCAATAAAGATTGTTGCGTCCTTGAAGTAACTTACTAAGTACTTGAGTAAAGAAAGATTGTGTTTGTTTTAATTATCAGGTCGACGATCCCGAGGACGCCGATGTTGTTGAAATGTTAATGGAAGAACGTCCACCGGAAGGCTTCCATGTTGTTAATACCGAATTCGTTCCTGGTTTAGAAGAATTAGAAATCGTTAAAAATTTACAAATGTTTACGCAAATATACCGAGCGAAGTTTCAGCCACCTTATAATTTTGACGGAAATTTCCGTAGGTTGTTACGGAGTGTTTATTTTAAGTTGCGAAGGATGGTACCATGTGCACTGTGTGATTTACAATTCAGGGTGGATCTCCCGGAAACTGACGAAATACAGTTATGCGTGTTAGGTACTAAGATTGTTATTAACAAGGTTACGCGTGCAACTTGTCAAAATTGATGCAAGAATGCGCACGCAACCAACTTAACCCTTAACCCTAGCTTAGTCAAACTTGGTTTTGTTGAAGGGATGGCGTTAGGACTAGGGGATCCTCAAAAGATGAAGTTTAAACGAAAAAATACAGTAACGAAGCGATACGGTGGTATATAGAGTTTGTGTAATACAAAACTTACTGTATTTTGTAGATGACGATCTAATTTTTAATTTGGAAGAAGATCAAATACCGGAAAATAGTGTTACCCAAACGACTCATTTAAATACTCATTCGGTTAGGTCAAGGCAAAAATCTCCGTCGAGAAATAGAATACAAACTGTGAAGCAAAGACATGTAAGATGTAGTTTGAGACACAAGTTTTGATTCTGATTGTAGATTTACAGATGCCTCATCGAGAACGACACGGGGTGGACATTACGCCTCTGTCGTACGTACCTGGAGGAAAAATTGAACATTATTTAGGAAATCTAAATTTCTTTTTTATTAGAGAAACCACTTCCATTCGAGAGGTATTTCTATTTACCGTAGTTTGTATTTTTTTGTACAATGTTGGTTTACAGGAGGGTGGTTTAAGTGGTTTCATTCATAGTTTTGTAACAGAAGTCCTAGCAATTGTTCGAGCACATGTTACTGCCCTAGGGGGAAATGCGATGGTTGCATACTTTATGACAGAGTGCGTTTTGAACCACAGTCTTCACAAAAATCAAGTAAGTGGATTAGTGCTAAATCCATAGGTAGAGATGGCGCCACTAGTACGAAAGTCAGACGAAACTGGTTTACACATTAATCAAATAATTTTACGTTTGTGTAAGATCAAAAGCTTTTGTCCGCTAATTAAATCACGCTTGGTATTTCGGCTAACTGTAAATTTAGAGCTGTGAAATTAATAAATGGTAACACGACCACTTGGCGCTGGATTCAAAATGAGTCTATCTATATTCAGCCTGTTTTTAAATTAACGGAAACGTCAAATCTGACATTTAGTAAATTTAACCTTGAACCATTTTTCCGCTAAACCACATGTACAATGAAGAAATCAAAAATTACGGCTAGTAGTGGATAAATAAGTTTGATTTAGTGTAAACAAGTTTCAACTTCAATTTGCTTGTCGGGTGTTCGTTGTTTATTTATCCAAAGATAATTTGATTGGTTGATTTTTTCGTAGTAACATGTTATTATATTAAAGAAACAATTAAATCGAGTAACCATGGTTAATATATGATTATTTTCTTAATTAGACACTAATTACGTCATTAATAAAAATAGCGTAAACAAAAAATGTTATTGATTAATAAAATATGAGGGTATTATTCACTACGAGGAAAACTTTTATGACGTTTATGTCAGAATAAATCAATTCTTAAAATACACTTTCTTTATTCTTTAATAGCTTCGATTTGCCGTATCGATTCAATGTATTAATTACCGTTTGTATTTTTAAATTCCCTGAAAAACGTCACTTAATATTGATAAGTTTAAATAACCTTAGTTATGAATAATTGCGATGTGACGTTATAAGATCTCAATGGGGTATTTTTACTGGGTCAGGTTATGTCAGTTAAAAATAAATTTTAACCATCTGAAACTTCAACATTCTTAACATAGTTAGAGGTTGTTCACTTTCGTGACGATATTTATTGCCTCATCCCCTAATCAATACGAAGTATTAAAATAGTTATTGATTATTCCTGAACAAAACAAAAACTGCGTGGCTTGATAAATTATTCGTGTATTAGTACACAAATGATTTTTTTCTAATCAAGGTATTCCCATATGCTTTCGATAAATAATTTGTTTTGGCGCATAACCTGGTTTCCGGTACGTGGCGCCCTCTAGCACAAACAACGAAACGAAATTGAAAGAACGTTAAAAATAAATATCAAGATTTATGAAACCACAACTATTTATATTGTGCTAGAGATGTGGCTATTTTTACCTCAGTACAAAGCCAAATAAATGTTTTCGCAATACGATAAATACGCGTATTTACCTTTTTAACAAATATGGAACAACGACTTAGAAAAATAATCAACACAAAAGAACTTCTCAAGGTTTTTCGCTTGTTTACACACTTGGAAGTCGTTAAATTTATTGAGGAAACTTCGAATTTACGATTCGGCGGAATTGCCACTTATTTTTTTTACAAAGGTGTACTTTATTTTTTATATTATACTAATTCGTGCAATTTGAGTACATTCAACTGAAACTTTATTCGAATTAACAAATTTATGATCGATTCATCGAGAATAACGACAATTGTAATAAATTCATTCGCGTGGGGTAATTATTGAATGCATATTCATAAGCGGTGAGAGCGGGACCATAGATGGCGCTGCAATATCGAAATAAAAACGAAGTTATTACTACAAAAGCGAAATAATTTGTAACGCCGTTGACGATTACTTGATGTTTTATTTATGAGAGAACCCCGACAAAGACAAAGGATGTAATTTCATACCTCTGCAGCTTCTACATGAAAGAGAATTTTTACAATAATCAGCCGGGCTTCAGATTTCTGGATGGTTAAAGTCGATTTTGGAGAAGTCGAGATTTGAGAATTTTGTTTGTTGTAATGTGTTTGTTTGAACCGGTTTTGTGAACTTAATTCGCTTTTAACTGGATTCAACTTCATTTTATATAAAAATAAGCGAAAAGGAGCGTGGCGCCAATAATAAGAATTGTTTTCTATCTAGAAGGGGAAAATTCTCCTTGGCAAGATTTATGCCCCGGATAAGTGACTTGCATTGTGCGACAATTTAAGATGCGTCAACAGTCCAAATATAATCCGTGTTTAAGTTGTAACACCCAAATAATAGCACAGAAAATAAATTTATTCTGAGCGTTTGGTAATAAAATTTTAAACCTTAGTCCGTCTCTGCGTAGGAAGAAAAATCTTGGCACCGGTCCAATCTTTTAAAAAAATTTGGCATATCAAGCGTGGAATTTGCGAAAAATCCCATTTCCAACGTGACATTTTAATGATAAATGCAGATAAATGTGACACCACGGTTGATATAATTTTATTGCGTGTATGAATTTTCAAACGCATATTTGTTTCAATATTCGCCAACTTGGTGACGTCAGAAATAACTGTCGTCAACGTACGTATCTTATTTTAAAAAATACTGACGTCAACTTTCCAATTTTCGTTTACGCGTTTTGTTAATTTCGGACGGAAGCGAAAATTGAAACCTGTTGATTAAATAAATTTATGTGCATGTAAAATTTTAATGTTTAAATTTTGCACACTTAATACTCTTCGTGCGTTACAATATGCCAGCACTTCCATTACTTTAATGCTACTATAAACGCTTTTAGGAAAATCAACATTTGAGTAATGATAACACGTTATGTTATGCCGGTGCCATTATTTTCAGTAATTAACTGTAATTTCTACGCCAACTACAACACTTTTCTCTGTTTGGTTTTGTGAAGCCATCGACCATCAGTTCTTCTACTTATCATTCCAAAAACACCAAAGATAAACCGTATCGACGATGACATAACGGATTTCCCCTGTTTGTTAAAGCGATGAGTCCTAATTCTATTAATACGTAGTTAGCAGTCAGACGAATGATCTCATGTCAGTTGTCGACTGATTACTTTTGTCATGGAATGTGTCAGAACGGATATTGACATGTTTAAGTCCGGAAATAACTATTAACTGTATTTTCGGAATTTATAGGTCACTATTTTTCTCTTTCCTTCTTTCTTTCTTTCTAGGTTGGCACCACGAACTATTTCGCTTTTCCACGAGCCAACTTTACTAAATTATTTTTTAAATGTATTATCGACTTATTTATTTTTTCGAATCTCTTAAAATAGCACAGATATGTTCTATTTTTCGAATTCAAGCGGCACTCAAATATCAAATGTCAAAAATCTTTCTCAACGTTTTGATTGTCCAGCTACAAAAAAATCAACAGACATGTAATCTGTCCTCGTTCAACAAGAAATAAATCAAGTTAACGTTATGTTGGACAATTGACGCGTTTAACATCAAAAAATTTCGAACGAGGAAATACGTGATGATACATAATTACAAAAAAACGTCGCAGAAGTTACTTACGTACAACGTTTCTGCACTACTTTTGTCGTCTTCAGTTGTAAAGCAATAATTAACCACTTTTAACTGGCGCTGTCATAAATCTAAAAGACTATTTTAATAAAACGTGCAAGATAAGAATCTTTTAAGTATGAAAACAGTGAAGTTTACAATTCACGCTTTGTTTACAAGAATAAATCCTTTGAAACTGTTTATTTGACTATTTTAAACTGTTACAATAGCGATTTTATCGAGTCTTAATTTTCTTGATTAGCATCATTTATTGGTGTTACGTAATTTCCACTAAATATAAAACGAGAATTACATTTTTACAAGTTAAATTGATATATCAATTTTTAGGTTGACATTTATTATCTGTACTCGTTGATTAAATAGAAGCCTGAAATAAATTTAATTTAACGCTTCATGCCCGTCCTGCTAAAGAAAACCGGAGTAGATTTTGCGACGGCTTCCAAGTTGTCTTAAATTTAGATGATCAAAAGAAAATCTGGGTGTAGTGTAAAAAATACTTGTGTTACTCGATTAAAAATTGTGGCTATATAATAACAATGGTTTCTCCAAATGACGGTTTGCGAATGGTGCCACGGTCGTCATATAAAATGACATCAGCATTTTTGTTGTGGCGCCATCTATATTACAATTTATTTCTGCTATTATGAAAGGAAATATCTTGTTGTGTAACTATTTAAAAAAGTGACGTATGACACCTTTGTATTAAAAAATAAAAATCGCCGTATCACTTGTGTTATTTTTGTACCCTGTTCAACTTGTTGTTAAAATTGTTTTTTTGTGCGTCAATATTTCAACAAATTAGGAAGGTATTGTAGAAATTTGAGCCAGTCATTACGGATAAAAATAGATCGTTTCTTTTTTATGATTTTAAGAAAATTAAAGGGCGCTGCACTTGAAAATTGTTCTAATTAAATGTCAGCTTAAATGAATGAGCGTTGAACCGCTTTTGACCCAAATTAATGGTTTCAAGTATGAGTTTTCGCGTTAATCGAGATTTCAATAAAACGGATTTAACAGAATTCCGGAATTGCAAATTGAACAATGTGCCGAAAAAGGGAAGCACTTTAGAGTTGATTTAACGAAGTTTCGTAATAAATTAATTAGCTTGTTATGGCGATGGAGAGGAATTTTAATGTGGCCTTTTTAAGTATTGTTATCGTTAATTGCATAATGGTGGAGTAAAATTGATAGCGTTTTAATCAGCAGTTTTGCGTTTTCAGGGACAATGCCTTATCAACGTAGGAGGAGACGTGGTTTTCGTTTCATATTTTAAGGAAGACCCATAAGACCTCTTGTTATTCTATTTTTGAAGCGTGATTAATGTACTTAACAATATCTAATAAAAACACGGTACCTATTGAATTAATTGGGGCATTTTTCGTGGTTTGCCAAGTTTATGTGACGTAAATTTTCATTGCCGCCCAAGTTCAGATTAATTTAGACGGAGGGTCACATAGTTGGGTTAATTGTTCAAATTTAGATTACGCGAATATAGTTTTTTACCTTGCGGACAGTTCACGTCAGTTGTTGTGACTTTGCCAACGAAATTAACGAGACATGCCTCAATATCCCCCTTTCGGCTCAACTTAAGTCACTGCGCTTTGTTATGTAGTTAGGTTTTTGTATTTCCTGTTACCTTGGAATGGCTGTTTGCCATTTTTTGCCTTTAATTTGAGATATTTATTTTGTGATGCGTGGAATTGTGATTGATGCTCGGAGGTTGTAAAGATGATTTGTTACTGTCAAAACAGCTCGATTTAATGATCGCAGTTCCACTGCAAATATTGTCTCCGAACATGACAAATAGAAACTGATTGTTTGATTGTATTATTTTGGAGATTGTTAAATAAAAGTCGTAATATCGAATGCGTTCTTATTGTATCCATTCAAGCAACAAAGATACAAAGAATTGGGTGAGTAGCAAAGTTTACGCGATTTACATAAACATCAAGGCTTCTGTTTATTATGCCTATTATCGATTACAGTCATAATGTATGTTGTTTTAAGGTAAATATTTGAAGCTTAAAATAGTTTTTTGAAATAATAGTCAACTGTATACTTATAAATATACTGTTATTAATTTAATTACAACAATTAATACTGGTTTTTTTACACACATACATAATCAGAGAAATAATTAAAAGCGTTAGATTCCCGTCGTCAAATCAGATCGTTGCAATTAAACGTAACATTTATTGAAATCAGTCGGTACAGGAAGAAGCGTTATTGACTGAAGATGGGCGTCTTATAAGCCGAAACGTCTTCCGAAGCGGAGGAAAACATGGTCGACATCTTGCCTCTTCGCATTGGGGTTCACAACTCTCTCGGCAAGTGGGCTCACATCGCGTTCGACCACTCTCCTATCTGCAACAACAATTGTTTTCAAATAACGAATTTTTAATCTTCATACATATTCAACAAGTTAAAGCGGCGTAATTTGTTTTTTTCAATTTAAAAAATTATACCCACAGGATGGTTCATCGGAGATGGAATTATCAACGACTGCCTTTTCGACGATGTAGCATAAGTGGCGCAGGGATGGACTGGCTTCGAGGAGGTCGTTAGGGGGGCAGCTGATCATGTAAGCCGTCGTCGAAGCGTTGCTCAGGAAGACGGCAGCCACTCCGAAAACGACGGCGGCGAATGTGTACTGATGCATCCTGAAAAAAACCACATATCGATAATCCAGACAGAACTTACAAATCACCCAAATATGACAAACGTCACGTTCTTTAAGCCGAACCGGCACGTAAAACAAATCCGCGCTGTATGTAAATACTATCGGCACGAACAATTATTTTACAAGTTAATCTCGTTATTCCGGAACGATTGTTTATGAGGGGGCGAGCGAAGCTCGCGACTTCTTAATTAAGCACATCTATACTAAAATGCAAAATCTTCACCCGACAATGACTCGACAATGCGATTATTTCGAGTACATAATTGCAAACATTTCGTGAAAATTAATGGGGTGCAAACCGACCTCGCCGCAAAAATGTTAATGAAACCCTCTAATGAAAAATTTTTCCTCACTTAATGAGTCCGCTCGATCACTCAAGAAAAATAACCGGCACTTGGTAAAAATGTCATGCAAGAACTAAAGCGCGCCACAGCTTTTCCGGAAAATTGCACTTACTTGTACGAGGAACTGTGAACAGACTCAACTATCACTGGAAAGTTCAGTGTTAATGTGCCGTTTGGACCAGATGAGATCTCCTTTATATGTTGGGGGCGCCTAGCGCCTACGTTTCTTTGCGCTTTTCCCACCCCTTGGTGTCACCATACTTGCGCATCATCACCTGCTTTCATAAAAGCATTAAACTATATCAATTTTTTCATTTATTGGCACCTATCACTTCTTCTGACAGTTTAATTGGTACATTATGTGCCACTTTATTTTGTTGATTTATCTGAACCCCAAATTAGATAATTCCATCACCCAAAACGCATGTCGGAGCTTCTTGTCACATGCTAAATCCGCCCTCGATGATAATTGTTACGTTGTGTGTTTAGCGATGGAATTCGCCGACCCCGAGTGCATACAAAGTAGCTTTTTCCAAATACAACTCTAATTACACCCTAATTAATACGATTTCGGCTTTCCACCCCCGGCTGGAAATTTTTCAAACGTATATCCTTCATTGTGACATTTAAATGAATGTGGAATATGTGCGTGCGGTGTATTCACCAAAAAATGCATATTTTATAGTTCACCAGAAAAAGGTGAGAAGAAAATTATTTGTGCACGTGTATAGTTTTATTAAAATGTCACTCATTATTACCGATATTCGTTTTAAATTTTGATTATTGTTCAATGTTAACGATAAAAATGCAATAACGTATTGTTCCCAATTGTGCATTGTTCCTGTTATCGGTGTATTTTAACTTACAAGTCAATAAGCAAATTTGTATGTCAATGTCATGACTTTGGTAATAAAATTTCATTAAAGTAGCTTTCAACGGCGCAATTTTTTCATTCACCCTCAACTAATAACGTTTAACGTAATGTTGCCAAACTTAAAAATTAATCAAGCCAATTTATATTTAGCTGCGGGTATGTATTTTTTAATATATTATTATTACTATTTGAGACTGTTAGGGTGGCATTTGTGACTGTTTCATTTAATTTGGGTGTATTTCTCAAATGTCAAAACAAAAATCAAACTGTCAAAAAATCGTCATCAAAATATTGCTTACAGCTTCTTATCGGACTTTAAGTTGTGGGGTTACGTCGACTTTTAATTTTTTGAAATCCAGATTTTTGCAAATTTCAAACTCTATTTATTCTTTTTACTTCCCGAGCGTTTGTCTGTATGTCCGCCTGTCTGCCGTCCCAATTTTTATTAGACAGATAATCTCCGAAACTACTGGACCGATTGTTGTCAAATTTTGTATTTATACCATATAAATGGTAAAACGCTAACCAAAATTTGTCTAATCATCCCCACCAATAATGTAACGACGTCACTTCAAAATTGTACATAAAAAATAGATTTTAAAAATATAGTCCTACACATGTAGTTTATGACTCCCTGTTGAGTTTTTACCCGAAACGTCCAGATTTTTGGAAAAAAAATCAAACTTATAAAACATTTTGCAATTTAATTTTGAATCTGCAAAACCGAATATTGCAGATGTTTTAAAGTTATAATAAGCATAATAAATTTTTAATCAAAATATATTTGCTTATCCCCTCCAAAAAAATGAGGACGTCAGCTCAAAATTTTGCCGAATAAATCCTAAGTAAAATGATGAGTTTTTACTTGTGATTTATCACTCCATTCATTTTTCGTGGATTTGCTTATATAGGATGACTCAAAAAAACTAATGAATGATTTAATCAGGAACTGCAAAACCGAATTCTTTGAAATCCTGCAGATGTTTTAAAGTTATCATATGCATAAAATTTTGCCAGAGTTTTCACCTTCGACATTCAGCTTTTTGGAGAAAAAATTAAAAATTGTAGAACATTTTAAGTAAAATTTAACTTTGAAACTGCAAAACTGAATGCTCTGAAATCTTGCAACCGTTTTAAGGTTATCGTAGTCCTCGTAAATAGCTAAAACTCGCTAAGAAAAGACTGAACAATATTAAGAGTAGTCACTGGAATGAAGAAGAGGTGGGTAGGGCTACTGATTCATCATAAAACCAAAAAAAGCTAAATTTAGCCCCGCCCAAATCCTTTCTCCATTTCATTGTGTTATTTTATTTAGTGTAAAATGGGAAGTGAATTCTATTTTTAATAAGTGACGAATCTAAGATTTAAAAGAAAGTTATGACTTTACGACGTCACAGTCTTTAATAAGAAAATACTTGTTAAGATAAGACTGATTTTGGCACTTTTGACATTTTCGACCATTTTTCAGCTACTTGCATATAAAAGACTTTAGCAAAAAGTTAAATTTAGCCCCGCCCACCCACCCGTTCTTTCATTTTTTCTCTTCTGAAATAGGAAATAAATCTTATACCAAATAGTACAACAAAAATGTTACGATTTACAGGCTAGTGTCTAGAACATATAATAATCCCAGCCCACCCACCCGCCTCCATTTCGGTGATTAATTTGATATAAAAAAAGTACTACCTTAATTGAAGAGAAGAAGAATAGGAAACTTAAAACATGTTTAAAATAGTACATTTTTGTAGAAAAATATCGATTTTGCAATTAAACTCCGCCTCTCTATCTGACAACGAATAAAAAATTCATCACAACTGACATAGGGGTGGGTGGGTGGGGCTTAATTTTTGGCTTCTTTTTCTTAATATATAGCCATTTTCAACAACACCAAATACCATTTGATATTTTTAGTATTTTATTGTTGAAGGAAGACTATGTATATGTACTAAGAGAATCAAAGCTTTAACCCCACCCACCCGCCCCATCCCAATTGTGATTGATCTTTTTATACGTCCTGAGACAAGGACCGGAGAGAAAACCATAACCCTTTGTTTTGGAAAGAAAATGGGAAATTGGTTCCACTTTCAAAATTTGTGAAGTACTTATTCTGTTAAGTGCTATTTTCAAAATTATACATATTTTAATGTATATTTTGATCAAGAAGATTTCGTCTACAGCTTAAAGTTAAAAGAGAACGCTGTCAAAATTTCAAATATAAAGCTCCATTTAAAATTATCAATCGGAGTCCAGAAGACAGAATTAATGAGAAAAATATCAAGATTCAAAATTCGGTATCCACTGATAAACACTTTACAATTATTAAAGCAAATGGAGTATATCCGAAAATTAGTTGATATTTTCTTGTAAATTTCGATATCCAGAAGTCATATTCGGCGTCATTTCTTCGGAAATTCCTACCATTTTTCCAAAATCTCTCATTGAAACACAGCAATTTTTACAGTTTCGTCAAAATAGCTCGCTAGAAAAATCATTTAGATAAATGTACAAAGATACGGCTTGTGTTGTTTTTGTAATAACTTGATAAAATTCCATTTGACAACAATGTTTGCCTGATATAAACCGAAGGTACAATCAGAAAAAAACAACTAAGCAGTTAAAAATGTTTGACATATCAAAAATTGTCAAAGTTTTCAAAACCGTATCTTTAAAAAATGTTCGCAGTTAATTTTGGGTCCCCTGGTGTTTTATTTTCGGATAAATTTAAAGGAATCTGGTGTTTTGTTGCTGGATGAACTCGCAAAAATCTTTTGGGCTTTTAGTGTTTTGCTTTTTACGAATCTGAAAAAGTCCAGAGTGCCGCAGTGCTTGGCTACAGATGATGTATTATTTTGAGAGTCCATCGAGATTTTTGTAAATTATTTAAAACAATTTTGGGGGACTTTGGTTTTCTATTTTTTGAAAATTTTGACTTGACCTGTTTTTGAGTTAATTTTGAGACCCAGGTATCTCATTTGCCAAAATCAGTGTTATCTTAGCAGATACTAGCCCCGCCCGCCCACCCTCTCATTTCTTAGAGGGTATGTCATTTGCCAAAAGCAGTTTTATCTTAGCAAATACTGAGAATGACTAACTCTTACAAAAAATGATCAAAATCTGGAAACATTATGAGCTTACTTATATGCACAAGGTAGGGTTTTTGAACATCTCTCTAGTGTTTAGTTGGTTATGCTTTAATGGATTTTTCTTTTGTTGGTTTTGTTTTTGTTTTTAATTTATGAATGTTTGGGTTGGTTTATTAATAACAATGCACAACGATTAATGACTACTGGTTGTTATGATTAGGTACTGTCCTTAAAAATAAAAGGTGGATTTCAGTCACCATCGTTATTAAGAAATGAGAAAGTAACCCGGAGGTATTCACGCATTAGGTACGTGCAGTGTTGCCAATTTTACTTTTATAAAATTACGTTTTACATATATAACGTACTGAAGATTTAATCCACCATTTTCCAGACACCCGGTATAGTTGTGGTTTACCAGTGGCGCATAGTTTTAGAATTACTTACACAGGATCATAAAAAATGTTCATGACGTTATCACAAAATTTTGTATTAGTAAAACTCACTTGAAACAAACGCGTAGCATGTTTTTTTATGTTTACTTCAATATTACATACATATCTTTATTTTACTTATAAGGGTTATCATAAAAAAATTAAACTGGTAAAATCAAATGATTTTCGAAAAAGTGGAGTTGTGTTCAAGGACGAAATAAGTTTCGACTAATTTTTTCGAAAGTGGCAACACCGCTTGTCAAAACTGCTACTTTATGCTATTTGACACTGTCAAATACTTACCTTTTATTGTAATGTGTAGAGATAATCCACTAAAGGTTCACTGTTGACAGCGTTAAAATCAAGTTGAATGTTTTTTTTAATTTCGGTAGTATGAAAAATTATTGTGAAAGTTATTTCTTAGAGAGGATTCATTTCCATGGGGTTAAAGTAGAATTTTAAATCCAGATAAATGAAATGATCAAATTTATGGACTCTCCAATTCTTACACATTTTGGTCATTGTCAAAATGTTTTAATCTGACGAATCATGTTATTTTAGAAAACAGGATTTACGTGGAAAAATTTTGGGCCCGCGTCTATCTACATCTAAAATTTCTACAATTAATGCACTAGTTTTGTAGATTATTTTTCACATTCAAGAATGCTACAATACTTCCTTAGCTTACGTGGAAAAATACCAAGTGAAAAGATGCAAATCACTTGTTTAACAATTTGTTAAATCAATTCATGGCTTCTGGAGTCAGCAAGTTCATCATTCTTGTCACTCAAGGTAATAAA